ATATTCTTGTCCAAAAATCTACACCTGTACGGCCAGCTTAAAACTGGAGTTCAGTGGAAAGAATTCCCCCTTACATTGATGGCTAGTGAGAAGAATGCCCCTTTAAATTAATGAGGAGAGTTACCCCTCCTAAAAACAATGAAATAAATAATTGGTGTACATGATTACTTACCTGGGAAATGAGAGTATAGGCTGCACTAGTTCCACACTCTGGCTCTGTCAAATGATTTTGATCTCTTGCCTGATGGTGCATGGAAAGTTCTGCAACAATCTACCATTACTCGCTGCTCAAGGAATCCCTACCTCTTGGGGAATCCTGGACAAGAAAAGCTGCTTAACAGAAAGTAAAAAAAATCAGTCTTGCACATAGTTTATATTTTAGGTACCATAAGGTTCTCTGCATCTGCCTTCAACAGAGTTTAAAGTAAGGTTTCTTGTTTATACTATGTTGTTTCTAGAAAATACAAAATGGCAAAACTATGTTATTGTATGATATACAGTATGTGTTGTATGTGAAGGTATACAAGACATGATATAAATTACTTGCTTATTTGCAGGTGTCATTACATGGACCCATTTGTTAATGTTTTCTGCCAATAACTATTTGAGCCTAGTTGGTCTTCCCACACATTGCCTACTCCATTTAATGTACATATACCTTTATACAAAAAACTCTGTGTGTGTACGCTCTTAAGTAGTATGCAAACAAAAAAAGGCCCCCAATGCAGTGCAGTCTCTTTCATACTCATCTGACAGGTGGGGATATTGAGTGGAAGGACTTGGCTGGAATTGGGCTTTAAATTCTTTTGCCACTTGATCAGTTGGAGGCTATGACCATAAAATGACTGTACATGTACACTGTCTAGTGTCTGCTGTTAGTGGGATGATTCCCTGCCAGCTATGCTAGAGAAGGAGAAAGAAGATACATCTCAGTTGTGCATATTTCCCTTTGAGACTGTATAGAGGTGGGTGTCCTTTCTCTCCACTCAGGTCTCAAATTACACTCAGCTCCTTGCTCTATGATGTGTAGTGTGAGAAATAGCCGTACTTTGTGTTTTAGAAAACTATAGAGAACAGAGAGCTGCAGATAAAGAGTCAACTTATGTAGGAGAATTTGTTTCATCTCTGTTTATCACCTGAGGCTAGTCACTTCACTGGATATATGTAAGGGTTTATAAACACTTTAAGTGGATTTGTAGATACGGTTTACTGTCAAGAGACTGTCATTTTTGTTTTGAGTGAGCAGTGTGACAGAGTCTCTTTAATGGACACATTGTTAAACTGTCACCAGAAAGAAAACTCTGTGAAAGGAAGAAGAGGCAGGCATCTTGCTGTTGTGCTGTTATGTGAAGCTCTTTAAATGCACTTGATCTTTGCTCGCTCCTCCAGTTAACTAGAGGCTCAGAGCATGCATATGCACAAGGATGCTTTCTTTACAATAAGTACTTGTGCCTCTGAAGACAACTGCTGACTCCTTTTACAGCCAGAAGACAGTAAATTTAAATTGGGTGGTTGGTTAACGTTTCCAGAAAAGATTATGTTTGTGCTTCCTAATCTGCAGAAAAATTATCAGTTGTTAAATTCAAGTTGTACTATACTCTAATCTTTATTTTAATTGTAATATTTCATGGAAAAACTCTTTTCTTCATGCTGTAGGAAGTTGTAAACATTATCAAGTAAAATAAGTATGTGGCCCACAATCTCAAACCAGGGAAGAGCATGCCCGGGTTGGTAACAGGGCTGGGTTTACATCTCAGGAGCCCAGGGCTTTTTTTCTCAGAGGAAAGGTGGTGGAACTCCCCCACCCAAACCTGGCCACGCCCCCATCAAACCCTAGGACCACCCCTTTAGAGAACAGGAATGCAAGTAAAATTTGGGAGGGGCTATAAAAGTAAATGTATGGAATTAACACCGCCCCCCCCCCCACATTAGTAAGAATAGCGAGTAACACTGCCCCCCCCCACATTAGCAAGAAAAGCGAGAAAAATTGTATCGCCGCTCCTTACCTGATGCTGACGATCCGCGCTATGGTAGGATCGACGAGCAGAGGGCGTGATGACGTCAGCGCGCACCGCCGGGTGTACTAAGATACACCTTTCCTATGGGGGTTGGCCGCGCCCCCGATGTTTACACGCTGGGTAGTAGAGGGGGGGGGGGTGAAGCGTGCATGTCCCCGCTCACCGGCTGTGAGCAGCGCGGCAGTGACAGGTGCCGGGCACGCGCAAGCATGACATAAACAAGCCGCGTCCGGCACCTGTCACTTTCGCTTTCTGCATAGCTTGTCAGCTCTGCAGAGGCAGTCGGTGAGCGGGGACAAGAAGAAAAAGGTGGCGGAACGCAGTACCGCCGCGTTCCGGCAGAAAGAAAGCCCTGCAGGAGCCTATAGGCAGAGAATTCTGAAGCACCCCACCCCCCAAAAAAATACAGTAAGACTGACTTTTTTCTTTTTTGCTTGATAAAATATTTTTATATAAATATTTTTATGTGTAAAGGGGAATGCTGCAGACTTTGATGTAAAGGGGAACACTGTGGACTGTGATGTAAAGGGGAACACTGATGTGGAGGGGGTTTCTGGTCACCAGAGCCCCCCCTTTCACAAGAGTCCCCAGAGTTCCCCTTACATCAGAGTCCTCAGAGTTCTCCATGACTGCGGACATACTAGAGATGGTTAAGAGATTTCAGAGATGATTAGAGACTGCAGACATGATACTAGAGATGGTCTGAGACTGTGTACATGGTACAGGAGATGGTCAGAAACTGTGGACATGGCACAAGAGATGATCAGAGACTGCAGACATGGTGTAAGAGATGGTCAGAGACTTTGTACATGATACAAGAGATGGTTTGAGACTGTGGAGATGGCTCAAGAGATGATCAGATACTGCAGACGGCACAAGAGATGGTCAGTGACTGAGGACAGGGCACAAGTGATGGTCAGAGACTGCGGACATGGCGCAAAAGATGGTCAAAGACTGCGGACATGGCACAAGAGATGGTCAGATACCTTGGACATGGGGCAAGAGATGGTCAGAGACTGCAGGCATGATAATAAAGAAGGTCAGAGACTGGTTTTAAAGACTTGCGCAGTTTACTCACTGTGTTTGTGTCTCTCTTCTCAGTGTGGTGTGTGTCCTCTGTGGTAGTGCTGAGCTGGAGCCATGTGTTTCTGCTTTAATGTTATCCTATCAGGCTGGCGGGAGGAGACTGCATCGGAGGGCACAGTGGGACTGTGAGAAACTACCAGCAGAGGACGGAGCAGGGGATCCAGGCGGTATTGCGGCTGGAGAGAGGATCAGGGCAGGAGCTCCAGTGAAGTAGTTTCTGTCATGCCGCGCTTGGCCATGCTCCCTCCAGTCCTCCTTAGTTATTTGTAAAAGGCACCAAGCAGCACCATGACAACACTGGTTGCACGCTCCAGCCGCCCCCCCCCAAATGGATGTTTGGCAATGTTGTGCCCGGGCCCCTCGGGATGACTAGCCTAGCCATACATGTGTATCATTGGCTGTCCCACCCTAATGGTGGCCCTGCAGACAGGAGCCCCTCTAGAAAGGGCGCCTGTAAGCACATGCCTACAGTGCCTATTGGGAAATCCAGCCCTGGTCGGCCAGCCATTGATCATGATCTGGGCTTGCCGATCTGTTATCCCAGAGCATCGGAGTGAATCGAACCGGCACCGGAGGGAGCAGGAGCCGCATAAGCCAATGCTTCCTTTGTAGCACTGCCTTTGTCCTGAATGCAGGAGTTTTGGTGCACTTTCAGAAAGTGCACCACATCTGCAAGATATAATAGAAGATTATGGCAAAGCGCAGCTAACCCACAGGAAGGCCGCGGGTGCACTGCACCCGCAGCATGGGTAAACCAGAGCGCATCAGTGTGAAAGTGGCCTTCTAGGGGGCTCAGGACAGTAAAGGCTTGTTTACATATGTGGTTTGGGGGTGCAGTAAAATCCCACATGTTTTACCACACCCCCCCAACCTGTACCGACTACTAGTGTAGCATCAGCAGTCACAATGGCGACCCCACCCCATGCTCCAGGGGGCCTGTGCAGCCTCCCTATCACATTCTGTTTAAACTGGAACAACAGGGACAGCAGGGGTGGCATATACAGGAACCAGACCTCTCCATTTTCCTAATGCAACCCCTGAAAGTCGAATTTTCCTCCATTCCCTCTGTTCAGCGGCTGCAGGACGAAAATGGTCATTATGCCATTCAAAATAAAAAAAAATTCTAAACCATTTAATTTCATTGTGGCCCGCAATCAGTTACCAAATCACTTAAGTGGCCCTCGCTCTTCAAAAGTTTGAGCACCCTTGCCCTTATTACTTAAGTTAGAACGTTTCCCTGATTTATAGTAAACCTGAGTTTCATAAACGTTTTCCATGATCTTAAGACCATATTAAAATGGACTTATAATTCCTTTCAACTATACTACAGCCTCTTGCCTCTCTGTCTTTGCATTTCCCTCCCCAGAATCTACATTGCTGTATGTATAATGTAATACTTACAGTATGTACCTTGCAGTGGTTTCTTTCAGAAAAGGGGTGTGCATTGTTCGGGATATTCGTCATGAGAAGCTAGGAAGTTTTTTTTCTTGCCATAATGCAGCATTTTGTATTCGCAGCAACAGTGAAACTGTTTCTTTGACATTCATTCTTTTTATAAATCATTCTTTTTGTCTCCTGTATGAGTGTGAACGTTAATTTTTTCAGGCTTTATTGCAGTTTACCTTTACTATTTTCATATTAGAAATAATTCATGTCTAGCTTGTGTTGTGCCTCTCGAAGCATACCACCATTTTTTAATCAAAGCAGCTGTCAGTTAAGGAGATGTATGTGTGTATTGGTACATAACATAGCACTACTAAAGTCAATAGTTTTCTCATTATTCATTCTATTTTGTATCACTGTGAAGGGCTTGTCATAACTTGAAGGGCAGCTGATTGGATGTCATATTGCATCTGATGTTGGTGTTATTTAAACTGCATGTTGATGTTGTTGCAGGAAATACTGACAGGGAAATATGGAGAAGATGCAAAACTTATCTATGACCTAAAAGACCAAGGAGGAGAGCACCTGTCCCTGCGCTATGATCTTACTGTATCCTTTGTAAAAGTACAACTTTTTTTGTACCTGTTTGTACTCCCCAACATTTTAACCTTTCTCATCACTTGAATCAAACTTTGATTGGACCAGGTGTAAACTGGCGACATCCACTAAGGTGAGTGTGTTTGAGGATCATCAGATGTCTCACTATTCTACATATCTCACTATGCACATATATTTTTAGGACCACCCTTCCCTTGGTAAGGTACGCCACAAAAGGACCATGGCATGATGAAAATAGTTTGATATTTCATGCCCTAGTACAGTGGTCTGCGAACTGTGACTCTTTGCTTGCCTTTGTCTAGCCCTTGAGGAATTATTCTTTACACCGATACCGACAATGGGTCATGTTTCTTCCCCTCGGCACTAACGATGGGGCACTATTTCTCCCCCCCTAATGTCAAAGATGTTTCTTTGTTTACTCCCACTGGGCACAGTCTGGCCCTCTTAAAGTTTGAAGAACAATAAATTGTTTTTTTGTTTAGAAAGTTTGGAGACTCCTTTCCTGGTAGAGTAAATCGCTAACCAGCAGGGAGCTCATAGTGCCATCTTTCTGCAACTATGCTCTGCATCCACTATAGTATACATCTGGTGCACTGGATACTTTAAAACATAATAAATTAGAACTGCAACAGATAGAAGCAGACAGTCAAAAACACCTAACAACTGTTTCATTAACTCTTACACTTTCTCAAGGAAGTCAGCCAGATCTTAAAACAATGTGGGGAGAGGCACAGGATTTAGCATTTTATCTTTTGAGATACTTGTTGAGTAGACCAGCCTTTTTCAACCAGGGTGCCTTGAAATTTATTAAGGGTGCCTTGGCAAAATGCCAAAAAATTGCCCAAAAATTGTATACAAGCCAGCAGGTGGATCAAGCCTGCATTTTAGGTACACAAAGCCATAGCTTTTTCAATGTGCACCATTACAACCTTCTAGCCACCAGCGTCCTAACAACCAATCATGCCATCAGTTGATGTGGAGGATGTCAGTCGCCTGCACGGCATCCTTGTTTGTCCCTCCCCTGCCCTTATCTGTCAGTAATGGGGTTAAACTAGCTGAGTGATAGAGAGAAACTGAGGGAGAAGAAAAACACTGGAATACTATTCAGTATCAGTGTGCAAACGTGTATTTGCTTTTGGACTAACAAATATCCTCTAACATTGGGTGTCCTAGATCTGTGGATGTTACTGCGTTACGTAAAACTATTAGAATAGTTTTTTACATTTTAGAAGAGGGTACCTTGAGACTGTCCATAATTTTAAAGGATGCCTCAACATTGTTTAAAAATTAAAAGGGTGCCTTGACTGAAAAAAAGGTTGAGAAACACTGGAGTAGACTGATGAATTTTGGTCAGAGCACCATGCTATGGTGAATTGTGAACCTAAAACTCATGATCCATGATCCAGTGTGTATGAGAATCTATGGGGAGTGGGGGGACTATCGAAGCAGAATGTGACTGTTTGAAGATTCAGAATATGTTTTTGCTGTCAAAATAAAAAACTATTATGATGATAAACGTTGTATTCAAGGTACAAAAGTCTTTTGTAACATTACAGAATTTATCACGAAAAGTGGGCCAAAAGGCAGGAAGACCTTTCTTTGTTCTATATGTATGTAGTAGCACAAAAGTCTTTGTATCTGCTGTCATACATTGGTTAAAAGGGATGACACTTAGGCCTCATGGACGCTGCTGCTCCTAAATGTGAGTTTACGAGATTTTGGTGTTATTTTGCCAAAACCCCTGAACTCAACTTAATAAAAGCCTATGTGTCCATGCACACATAGGCTTTTATCAGAGTTCTGCAGCAGCAGAGTTTAGAGGCAGTTAAACGTCCCTCTCCTGAACGCAGAAGAATCACATTCAGATGTGGAACGTTTTGTCAGAAAAATGCCAATAATGCGTAAACACGCCTAAATGCTAGCTGCGTTAGCACTTGGGTGTTTATTCGTTTCAATGGCAAGTACTCTGGCCAATGAAATACTAAACGTCTAATCGCTAAACGTGTTTACATTTTTGTTGAATTTAGTGGTTTTTTTTCCAACAGTAAAGTTAACGTCTATGGCAGTTCCAGTGTACATGTAGCCTAAGGTGGTTCCACAAGTGCACAATCAGAGGTTGACATTTACAGTTGTGTTCAAAATAATAGCAGTCAGACATCACTAACCTGATCAATCACTGTTTTTAGTAGAAATTATATTTCTACATGGCAAATAATTTACTAGCAGGTGTAGTAGAGTAATAGAAATCCAACAGACCTAACAGTCATGACATGCATGCTGCTGATTCTGTGTAATTGAATCACTAATTGAAAGGGGCATGTTCAAAATAATAGCAGTGTGGAATTCTATTAGTGAAGTCATTCATTCTTTGGAAAAACAGGTGGCAATTATTGCCCTTAATTAAGGAAGGAAAGCAGCAACTGTTGTACATGCTGGTTACAGTGCATTTCTCTCTGAAATTCTGTGGAAAATGGGTCTTTCCAGACATTGTTCAGAAAAACAGTGTACCTTGATTAAAAAGTTGATTGGAGAGGGGAAAACATATAAAGAAGTGCAGAAAATGATAGGCTGCTCAGCTAAAATGATCGCAAATGCTTTAAAATGGCAACCAAAATCTGAAAGACGAAAGGAAGAAAGCGAAAAACTACCATTCGAATGGATAGAAGAATAGCCAAAATGGCAAGGACTCAGCCAACAATCAGCTCCAGGAAGATCAAAAAAGGTCTAAACTTACCTGTGAGTACTGTTACAATTAGAAGACCCCTATCTGAAGCCAAGCTATCTGCAAGAAGCCCCCGCAAAGTCCCACTGTTGAAAAAAGACATGCTGAAGAGGTTACAATTTGCCAAAGAGCACACTGACTGGCCTAAAGAGAAATGGCGCAACATTGTGTGGACTGATGAAAGTAAGATTGTTCTTTTTGGGTCTAGTGGCCGGAGACAGTTTGTCAGACGACCCCCAAACACTGAATTCAAGCCACAGTACACTGTGAAGACAGACAGTGAAGCATGGTTGCGCAAGCATCATGATATGGGGATGTTTCTCATACTACGGTGTTGGGCCTATTTATCGCATACCAGGGATCGTGGATCAATTTGAATACATCAGAATACTTGAAGAGGTCATGCTGCCTTATGCTGAAGAGGAAATGCCCTTGAAATGGGTGTTACAACAAGACAACGACCCCAAACACACCAGTAAACGTGCAACATCTTGGTTCCAGACCAACAAGATTGACGATATGGAGTGGCCAGCCCAATCCCTGGATCTTAATCCAATAGAAAACTTGTGGGGTGACTTCAAAAATGCAGTTTCTGAGGCAAAACCAAGAAATAGAGAAGAACTGTGGAATGTAGTCCAATCATCCTGGGCTGGAATACCTGTTCACAGGGGCCAGAAGTTGGTTGACTCCATGCAACACAGATGTACAGCAGTTCTCAGAAACAGTGCTTATACAACTAAATATTAATTAAGTGATTCAAAGGACAGCAAAATCTTCAAACATTTTTCAGTTTATATAGTGAATGTTTGAGTTTGTAAAGAAGAATACAAACACTGCTATTTTTTTGAACAGTCTAATATTCACTTTTCTTCCATTTTTTTAGAGGAACAACACAAATTTGCTATATTTTTCTTCATGTTTTGATTTGGAATAGAATGTGTAGTGTTCCCAATGCATTTGTGTGTATGGAAATAAAAGCTATTAGAAGGATTTTGAGCTTTATTCACTTTTTTCAACACACTGCTATTATTTTGAACACAACTGTATATGAGCATTTTGGTGATTCTGATATGTACAGTATGAAATGTACAGTAATATATGCATTGAAAGCAAACCTCTATACTGAAAGTATGGGTTGCAAGTACATCCTAAGCAATGAATCTGAGAAAGGGTTGTGGTCTTAACCATCTGACAGGAAGGTGTCCAGTGGTTTCAGCCACAATGACAACAACACAATGAAATCAAATAAAACACAATGAAAGCATTTATAGGTGCTGAGAAATATTGGCTATGAAGTGTTGATGATTGGAAAAATATAGTCTAATCCAATGAATTCTTTCCTACAAGTGATGGTATACTCATGTTGTGGTGTCAAGCCTTTGAAATACATTTCATTAAAGCATTATGGATAAGGGAATTTCACCCATCAATTTTGGGCAGTTGCGTGATGCCTTAAGCTCAGTTCATTATCCTATAAAATCAACAGCAATCCGTTTAAAATAAAATTGACATTGCTGAAAAATAACGTGCTTTAGGGCTTAATGAAGCTTGAGCTTATTGATGTCCTTGTTTTCTCATTTAATGCCCAACTGTAGTCCAATTTATTTTGTGTGGATAAAAAGAAGGGTTAGAACCAAAAAACATGGAAAAAGTTTTAATCCTTCGTTACTCTATCTTAAACAAACCAAAAATAAAAAGTGTTTTTTTACATTTAAACAGTGGACTAAACATTACAGGTCCAATAATGAAGGTGCTCCTTTTGGGTTACAAATTGTTTTGTACATTTTCTCACTCTTCATTGTACAAGTGAAACTCTAAAAATTAGAATGTCGTGCAAAAGTTAATTTATTTCAGTAATGCAACTTAAAAGGTGAAACTAATATATGAGATAGACTCATTACATGCAAAGTAAGATAGTTCAACCCGTGAGTTGTCTTAATTGTGATGATTATGGCTTACAGCTCATGAAAACCCCAAATCCACAATCTCAGAATATTGTGAAAAGGTGCAATATTCTCGGCTCAAAGTGTCCCACTCTAATCAGCTAATTAAGCCATAACACCTGCAAAGGGTTCCTGAGCTTTTAAATGGTCTCTCAGTCTGGTTCAGGAGGAATCACAATCATGGGAAAGACTGCTGACCTGACAGTTGTGCAGAAGACCATCATTTACACCCTCCATAAAGAGGGAAAGCCTCAAAAGGTAATTGCAAAAGAAGTTGGATGTTCCTAAAGTGCTGTATCAAAGCACATTAATAGAAAGTTATGTGG